GATGAATTTTGATTTAAAAATATTAATAGAATAAAATTGTGCTATAATTTAAAAGTGATCTCTCTCTTTTTTTTCTCATTTCTTTTTCATTCTTTTACAATTTGCTAAACTAATCTACAGTTTAGAATAAAATAGTTATTTCTCTAAGTTTGATATGAGGGATACACCCAGATATACCGCAACCCCAGTATACCGGCAGCTATAACTTTGTTAAAAGTTGTCGAATCCGGGACGCCCTGATATTGTCTGATTCAGCTCGTCGAGCCGCATTGAACCATACCAAGGCGTCCCGGATTCAACAATTTTGAACGAAGTTATAGCCCAGCGGTATACTGGGCTCGCGGCGGTATCGGTAAAGGCGTTGTTGAGATTAAAAAGGTAAATAAAAAAAAACTAAAAAATCTTTAAATAACCACAACAATAATAAATAATTAATCTTGCAGATCTTTTTACCATGCTTTCAACCTCTTATCCGGAACTCACATTGGATCCGGTTCTGGTCAAAATTTCAGTTCCTGTGAAATACTATTAATTATTCACATTTATTAAATAGAATTTAAAAATTTTTTTGAAAAATCTTTTATTTATAAAACCTACAGTAACTGCTTGTTTGTTACTAGTGGCGCTGAAACGGGCGCTTAAATAAAATGTAATCGTTTTTTGATTTTTTTACTTTTAGAGTCTCTGGAACTTTTCTTTTATTTTTGAGTTATTCGTCTACGAATTCGTAGAGATCGGAACGGGACTGGCTCCCTTTTCCAAGTTTTTTTGAAGATGCCAGAATCGGGAATTCCCGGTCCGGGTACCGGCCGGTTAATTTTCATTTCCCGATCCCGGCTTTTTTCAAATTAATTAATTTTTTTAAGTTTGTTTTTGTTAATATTTTTAAATTTATTTTTAGTGTTTATTTATTTTTAAAAAATTTTTCAAAAGAAAAAATGTCTCAGGAAAGTACAATGATTTGGTAAATAAATTAAAAAATTTTTTTTTAATAATTTTTAAAAGCATTGACAATTCTGAATGGATGCGTAATGGGGACCTTCCACCAACTCGCTTTAATTGTCAACAAGAGGCAGTCCGTGCTTTAGTTCATTACAAACTTCGAAGCAATCCGGAAAATGCTGTTGGGTTAATTTCTCTTGCAAAGTTTTTTTTGAAAATTTTGGAGAAAAATTATTTTTTTTTATTTTTAAGTCGTGTGGAGGTGTTAAACTCTTTATTGACTGATGATCGGAAATTAATGGTTCGCCTCCACAGCTTGGAAATTAACGTTAGTTTTTTGATGATTTTTGTAATCCGTATTTATTTAATTTTTTGCTAATTTGTCGTTAGCCCTACCCGTTTTTACTGTTTTTACGACATAATTATCGTGGTATTTTTTGGTACAATCTCGTCTTATGTAGATACCAAGGTTTGCCACACCATTTTAGAATCCCAAAATCGATCTCATGGTTACGCCCGTGACTGATTGTTACACAAGTTTACAGGAAAATTAATGTGTCCGCAAAAAAAGTGAAAAAGGCTGCAAACTAGGATAGGAAAACGGAAAGATAACTAAATTTTTTAAGCTGGTTATTTATTGTTAGCGTAATAAGTTTCATCTCTAGTAAAGGTTTACCTTCGTTGCCGAAAATGGTTCCCCCCCCCCCCTCCCACAGAAGATTTTTCCTAGCTATGTCTGATCCGAATCCTCATCAGAACTAGGCTTTGTTTTACAAATTTTAAAAGTATGTTCCTCGATTTTTTGATTCATTTATTTTTAATGATTTCAAGCAGGCTCGTAGCCAGAAAAAATTTTTCCCGACCTCGAGCCTGATTTTAACAGAAGCCGAAATCCAAAAGTATTTTAATTTTTAGGGCTCTACAAAAATCTTTCCTGGAGTAAAAACTGCTTATTTGGCTCTAAAACATCGTAAAATCCGCACTCACAAAATGCGTATAATTGTTTTTGTTGGAAGTCCATTGGATCAGCTTTTAACGGAAAAAGATTCGGTAATCGAGGTTTAATTAAATATTTTTGATAATTTTTGGTTGACTATAGGATTCAGGGGATAGGATTTTTTGAGTGACTTTTTTCCAAAGTCTTTAACCACATTTCAAATCAAAATTCTAAAAATTTTTGTTGTGGTCTTTTTTGTGTTCCTAACATTTCCCGCCTAACTAGGGTTGCCAAAATGGACCGACTCATACTGAAAAATCGAGTCGGACATAAGATATTCGGCCCGAAGAAGACTTATACGGCCCGACTCAATAAAAATGAGGCCCGTAAAAATGCAAAAAACCATCGGCCCGTCTCGAAAACGGCAACCGTTGTCTAACATTTTGTCCACCAATATATAAGTAATTAAACGAACAACATGTTGAAGTTTCTCTTAAATGTTTTCACCAGGTCCTTCACTGGTTTTCGAACCTTTTATTAAGTATAGAATTTTTGGAAATTTTTTTTGCCACAAATTTTTAAAGAGATCCTTAAGAATTTTATAGAAAATTTTTTTAAAAATAATTCTTTTTCAGTTCCTCAAATTCGCCAAAAAACTTAAAAAAGAAAAGGTTAATGCAGATTTTGTTCTTTTTGGTGAAGCTATGGCAGAAAACAACCAAATTGTTTCCGATTTTATTAATATATTGAATGGACCGTTAGTTTTTATTTTTTCAAAATTTTTTTTTAAAAAAGTTTTTTTAAAGAGACGGCCAAGGCTCTCATCTTTTGGTTGTTCCAGCTGGAGACACTAAACTTTATGATGCAATACTTCGCTCGCCTATTTGTGAGGGCGGTGGGAATATTGGAGCTGGGGCTGATTTTGGTATTAACGAGGAGGATGATCCGGAATTGGCTATGGTTATTTTTTTAAATGTTTTTTGGGGGTTTTTGTTTGGAATATTTGTTGGGTTTGTTAGAATTGGAATTGTGAAAGGGGATATTGAAGGGATGGTATTTTGAAAAGTTCCGGCGCTCGCCTTCTCTTTAATAGTATTTTAATAGCAAACTCAACAACCTTTTTTTAATTTTGTTACTATTCTATAATAAAAAATTTGTGGAAACCCCAAATAAATATTCGCAATTCATTCCCTTAATTTTCTTCAATTCCTAGGCGCTTCGAATTTCGTTGGAAGAACAACGTGTCAGACAACAAGGAGGAGGGGACGCTCCACAAGTTGAAGAACAACCTCAACAGGAAGAAGATAATGCAATGGATGTTGAAGAAGAAAGAGGGGATGAGGGAGGTTCGAAGAAGACTGCTGATGTTGTTGAAAAGTCTCAAGTTCCGCCAATTAATTTTGAAGAGATGACAGAAGAAGAACAAATGGCTTATGCTCTTCGAATGTCTGTTGAACATGGTTAGTAATTGGTATTTTGGAAGCTAATTATCAGCTATAATGGCAAGACATTCATAGGACTCTTGATTAAGAGTTTGCTTTTTGCTATGGTTGTTCACTTCCCGATATCTCCCGGTTTTGATTAGTCCTAATTTTAAAACCCCAATTTTTGGTTTTGAGTTTCAGTTAAATGAGATTGTATTTTATGTAGAAGATTATTTAAAAAATCACTCATTTTCAGTTTTGGCAAGAAAAATCAAAATTTTCGAGTTTAAATCGTTCGTAAACAAACCTAGTTTTTAAAATCTTTAGTTTGAGATGCTTTCCCTATTTTTTGGAAGCAGTATAGGTTATTTATAAATTTTCACATATAAATTTTCAGCTACTGAAAGTCAACAACCAAGCCGTTCACGTTCTCCATCAATGGCAACACCTGCACCAACACCAATGGAAACTGAAGAGGACGGAGGAGGTGGACAAAAAGTTGCTGGAGCTGGAGTTGTTGGGGATTTGTTGAATGATCCGGTTTATTTTTTTTTGAAAATTTTGGGGAGACTCGGGTCCAAAATTGCAGAAAATATTTTTGAAAGACGTGTTCCCGTTACCAAAAAAAATTTTTTCCTTTAATTTTTTCAAATTTTAGGCTCGTTTACAACAATTGGTTGATCAAAGAGGTAAACAATCCCAAGAGGTTAAAGTAACACAATATCCAAATTCTGATAAGAAAACTGACAAAAGTGCTGGGACATCTAAAGAAGATAAAGAAAAGGGCCAGAAAAAATGAGAATTTTATGTGATGGTTGGATAATTTGACTTTTTGTGTTGCTATTATTTTGTGTATCTTAAAATTAAAAAAAATTTCTTTAGGGGATTTTTATAAAGCATTTTTGAAGGATTATAAAATGCATTGAGAAAAACACATTATTAGGGTTGAAAGTTGAGAAACTTTTGGAGCTTTTTAATGTTTGGTTGGGTTTAGAGATTTTGGTTTCCTAAAAATGATCGGAAAAGTTAACTAAAATTAAATCTCTAATCATCATTAGGGTTGGGGGTTCGGTTCGAAAGATCGAATCGGGCCTCCAATTTTGGCCCGAAAAAGACTCGAGCGGCCCGGTTCGATAAAAATGAGGTCTGAAACAAATGACTCGAACGTCGGCCCGGTTCGAAAAATCCGACCCTAATCATTAGTCTCGCATATTCCTCACTGAAATTAAATTTTCTTAGATATTAAAAATAGGATAACCCCAAAGCTAACAATTCTAAAGATTTAAACACCAAAAGCTTATCAACATCTTAGGTAATTCGAAATACAATTACAATTTTTGGTATAGAAAACATTGCAAAATCACTTAAAAATAAAAAAATATGCAAATGAAAACTTTTTCTTTTCAATCCTTCTTTAATTAGTGTAACAAATGTTGAACTGAAAAATAAATCTTGTTTAGAAAGGTGAAAAGGGAAGTTAATAACCTTCCAAAAAATCATTTCCTCAACACAAACATTGCGAATCATCAACGTGAACGAGAGCGTGATCGTGAGTATGAACGGCCTCCTCCTCCACCACGACGTTGATATGGCGAGCGAGATCTGTATATTTTTGTGAAGAGAAGTTGAGAGAATTTTTGTCTTTTTTTTTAAATATATATCTGATTTAAAGTTGCGGATGAGGAGCTGGTGATGACTCACAAAACACACAAAAAGAGACGAATAAAAGGAGACAAGGAAATTTCCAAAAAATTTTTTAATTTTTCTATCCGGCATTTGCAAATGCTGAGCCGAATTTTTTTAAATTTTGGGTGAACAAATTGAGAAAATGATGGATTGTTTGGGTTGAGAAGATGAGATGAGGTTGAAAAGATGGTTGGTTGATGGTGAGATGTTTGGGTGGTTGTGTGTGTGTTGCTGAAAACAGCACTCCTCAAGTTTTAAGATATTTTGGGGATTTTTGATTGTGCGGACAAATATTTTTAATCCGCAGTTAAGTAATCAAAGAAAGCTAATATCCCAAAGAAAGCACATATAATAAGGCGTCCCTGGGATTTGATTTCCAAACTTTATCTTAAAATTAACCACCTATAGCTATAGGAGATCCCAATAAGGCTGTCGAACCGAACAAAACAATCAGTATTTTTAGAATAACCCAAAACTCGGATTGACCCGGATCAATCGAACAAGTCGAAAAAAGTGACCAAAACACAGACCAAACCGTAAAACACCCCTCACAATAATAGTAAAAACAGAGTTCCTACCCCAACACAGACAGAAATATTCGGTAAAAATTTCAGTTAAAATATAAACCTTGAACGATCACGGTCCCGGTCGCGATCATGACGATCGCGAGATCGATCACGATATCCTCTCCCTCCTCCTCCACCACCGCCATATCCACCACCACCACCGCCACCACGGAAGCCTCCTCGTCCCCCTCCACTAGGGCGTCCAGAAGCACTAACAGAAAGTTCGACTCTTGCCTTAACTCCACAAATGCGTCTAAATTAGAATTTTAAAGATAAAATCAGGGTTAAGAGTGAATTTAACAAACGTTCCATCCATTGAACGTACAGCATCCTCCGCGTCTCGATGATCATCAAATTCTACAAAAGCAAAGCCTGGAGGACGACGGGCAACCCAAATTTTGCGAATTCGTCCAAATTTATGGAAAGCATCGTCCAACTAGAATAGATTAAATTTTTAAAGGGATTTAAATTGGAGAACCTCTTCGGATGTGGCATCTTCAGGTAATCCACCAACATAAACTTTCCCTTCTACAAAACCACCACGACGGTTGGACATTTTATAATTTAGTTAATTGCTGTGTATCTAAACTTTAAGAATGACTCATCAGAAAAAAGTTTCAACATTAGAGAAAAGTGTAGGGGGCAATTTAGTCACCAATTTAGAGAGTAGGGCAAAAATGGGATAATTCAGAGGGTGCTGTGTAATTTTGGCAGTGATTTAAATGGGCAGTAAACGGCTTTTGAAAAATAGATTTTTATGCAAAAACAAGCTGAGAAACAACGGAAAGTCGATAGAAAAAATAATTTAGGGGCAACTGAGAGCAGACAACTCAGTGTCCTTATAAAACGGCCAATTCATTGCCCGTGCATTTTTACTATGGTTAATTGGTGGAACATCGCTGGAACAAATTCTTAATTGTTGTTAATGGAACGATTTCCGACTGCGACGATTTCCCGACTAAATTATATCCGCATAAGAAAAAGAATACTCCCAAACACGGTTGAACCTCCCAAACATACCTGTACGAAACTCCAAATTTTTTTCGAACAAAACGAAACGAAACAAATTAAAAAGTGTTTCGTCACGAAACGAGACGAAACAGTAAAAAATATAACGAAACTAACGAAACAGCGAAACGAAACGAAACGTTTCGTACAGGTCTGCTAGTAGTAGAAACACACGCACCGTCGCGGGAGTGCGGTAAAATTTCCCGCACTAAACTCAAAGGTACTGAGTGGGTTGTGGGGGGAGGGGTCCGAGAGAGGATAGCCTGTGCCTAAAGGAGGGTTTGGTTGATCAACCTATTGAGTGAATGGGGGTGGGAAGGGGTCAGTGGACAATTATCCTAAGGGTAAAGAAGGGTTTGAGTGGACAAACCTATTGACCGATTGGGTTGGGGAGGGGTCCGCTGTCAATTAACCAGTGCCTACGGAAGTGTTTGTTCGGGCAGTCTAAACCTATGGAAGGGGTCGGTGGTCACTTGAAAGGGTATGAGGTAACCCCTCTCTAATAGAAGACCCATAATTAATAATTAAAAAGTAATTAGTAATTAATTAAATGGTTGGATGAGAGGGTAAGGGTAAATAATAATTAAATAATAATTATTAATTAAATAATTAAAAAGTAATTATTAATTAAATAATTAAAAAGTATTTATTAATTTAGCAAATTAAAAAGTAATTTTTAATAAATTAAAAATTATTAGTTAATTAAATGGGTTGAATTAAAGGGGTCCGAGAACAATTAGCCCTTGTTTAATGAATAATAACCCTTGCCTAATGACCCTCTCTAATAAAAGGACCATAATTAATAATTATATACTAATTATTGTAACTAATTAAATTATTTTGTCAGGTGGCTTAAAAGGAGATTCTGTGCCTAGTGAACTCTCTAATAAAATAAACTCGTTATTACATAATAATTGCGTAATAATCTATAAATTCCTGATCCTAGATGAAGGGTCTGAGCGGTAAATTAAAAAAGTAATTAACTATTAATTAGTCAAATTAAATTGAAAAGTAATTATAAATCTCGCTCCTATTAAAAAGACGTCGTGGAGGAGGGGTCAGTGTTCAATTAGAATGTCTGTTGCACTGTGAGTGCAATTAACCAGTTCCTGCGGAGGAAGTTTTTCGGCGGTTAGTTGAAAAAGGATGCAAGTTCAAACAAATCAATTATATTGTAAAATTCGGTAAAAAGATATATCTATTTTTATATAAAATAAATAATGTACAAAGATGAACTTAAAGTAATTATATTGTAAAATTTGAAAATAAAAACAATATATTTATATTTTATAAAAGTAATAAAAATTCAAAAAATCACACTTTTAAAGATCGCTGTAAAAATAAAAAGAGAGTGGCATATTGGCACAGTCGTGGGGCAAGTGGGGTCCGATAAAAAAAGAGATTGCAAATATTTGGGGAGGAGTGGTCAAAAAAGAAGAGAGCATGTCTATGACTGTTGTGAACCAACAGGATAAAATGTAGTAATTTGAGTCCTACTAATTATAATACTAGTTGTAAACTTGTCTACTCTTGTGATTTGTCTAAATATAATATTATAGGATTCAATAAGTGTCGAGGAAAAGAGGATAAAATTATTAAAAAATCATTCGTATATTTGAAAATCTAATTCACCTCAAAATATTTTATTACAAAATTTTGAGTCTTATCAGCTATTTCGAGACACAACTAATTAGTTTAATTTTAATTTAGTTTTGAAGTCTAGACTATTACTAATATATCTTGTGCTCGGGAAGAATCAATTATTACATTTTCATAATAAAAAAAAATTTAAATTAATTTTACTTCTCAATAGTTTATTGCAACCAGTCATACACGGACACAATATTCTGCTTTAAATCTAAGCTTTTAGGATATAAATGTGTGAACTAAAGAGTTGGAAGATAAAATCGATACAAAGTTAAGGATTAGAAGATAAAATTAATATAAAGTTAAGCAATGGAAGATATAGATTTTGGGGGTAAAAATTCAAAGTTAAGCGTTAGAAGATAAAATAGTTGTAAAGTTAAGGAATACAAAATAAAATTAATATAAAGTTAAGATTTGAAGATAAAATTAATGTAAAATTAATAAATAGAAGATGAAGTTCATGTAAAATTAAGCAATGGAAGATATATATTTTGAGGGTAAAAATGCAAAGTTAAGCGTTAGAAGATAAAATATCTGTAAAATTAAGGAATACAAGATAAAACTTATGTAATAATTAGAGAAATAACAAATATTTTATGTAAAAATTTAAAATATATGCATTTATCAGGCATATTCCCTTAACGATGGGTCCTGCAAGGTTGAAGTGTCCATATGTTACAGCACACAATTAAATAAGATATATACGCGCGCACACACTAAGTCGGAATCGCAATAATATACATGAATTTGATTATGTTAAATTTTGTAAACTATTTATTAATATCAAATTAAAAATTTTTATATTGAGATAAATTATTATTAAAATTAATAAATTATTTTCCATAAAGTCAATTAATAATAAAATTCTATTATTATTTAAAATGTTAATATTTTCATTTATTTTAATATGTATTCCATTCTTATTGGCTAACGACTTGGAGGCAAAACCCTGGAAGATAGAGGAATTAGTGACAACATTATTTCGTAGGACACCAATACCAATTTGGCGGAGAACTCCACCACCATTATTTTTTAATAGAACTATAAATAATTTGGGTAAGATTCAAACTCGAAATAATTTAAACAAAACTTCATCTAATAAAACGGATATCGATTTAAGATTATCTATGCGGTGGTATATAAAAGATATTTATTATTCTAAAAAGGAAAAAAAAAACTTTAAATTAAAATTATTAGAAGATGAAATTTTAAAATAATTAACAATTAAAAGTAGGTGATTTTGGGGGTAAATTGGCAATATTAACGAATAGAAGATGAAATTTTAAAAAAACTTGAAATTAATATTTTTAGAAGATGAAATTTTAAAATAATTAGTAATTAAAAGTAGGTGATTTTGGGGGTGAATTGGCAATATTACCTAATAGAAGATGAAATCTTTAAAAAATTTAGAAAAATCATTAAATTATCACCAATATGTATCAAATGACAGCTGGTTACATTCTTTTCGTGCACGAGCATATGTTTCAAATTCCTTATCATCTTTTTCTTCATCATTTAATTCTATTTTTACATCGAAGGTTTCTTTGTTGTCATCGCGCATAAAAGTCTTAAAAGGGTTAGTTGATGACTCATCGATGATTTCCAACAATTCTAGAGGATAGTATCTATCCTCGGCTCCACTTTTCTTGTCACTGAATTTTTCAATGACGCAATGCGTGTAAGGGTGATGAAGACGTATGCGGTGACGTGAATAAAAATGAGCAGTCACGCTAATATTAAATGGACGCGGTAGACGTCCGTAAGCATTAATTTTATCTGCGCCAAAGTCACTCAAACCTCCAATTTTAAATGTTTTGTTGAATTCATTTCTGTCCTTGTAAGTAGTTCGAACAAGCTTTCCTTTAAATTTTTCCAGGATTAGTTCACGATCTTTAGGATGTTGAAGTCGTTCACGGAGTTTTGAGGGTTTACAATTTAATACTTTAGAAAATTCGTCAATAAGAAGCATCATTTTTAATTATTAATAATTAATGATCTAGTTATAAAAATTTTGTAAATGAATCGATAAAATCTTTGATTTAAATAATTAACAGGGGCGTGGTTTATATTAATTACAATGCATAAATTAAAACTACAAGTTACCGCCCACTTCTTGAATGAAGATTATCCTCTTATTCATTCACTCATTCTAAAAATTATTTAAGTAAAAAGATACTTCATTTAAATATAATAACAATGCCCCGCAAAACTTCTTTAGTTAAGGAAGTAAAAGAAGTTGACAACGAAAAGGTCAATGTAGAAGCTACTGACTCAACTCCTGATGTGTCAAACCCAGTTAAAGATTTAATTGAAATTCATACACCTTTTTATGAACCACTTACCAAAGAAGAACTTGCCAAGGCAAAAGATAAGAAGATACCTGAAGATAAGAAACCTAAGAATGAGTATCTTTGGAAATTAATCAGATGTAAATATCTGCTTACAATTAAGCTGTGCTCAGGTGAAAATTTAATTTAAAAATTTTAATTAAATTTTTAAATTTTAGCCTGTCAGAATCGTTTATTCCTGATGCAAGACAAATTTATACGTTATGCAACAGGAGTTACTTTGAAAATTGACTTATGCAATGACTGCATCGATAGAAATTGCCGTGCTTCAGATGTTCTGGCACCCTTCAAGAAAGCTGGAACTAAAAGAAAAGCCGACTGAAAGTTTTAGAATTAAATCAACCAATTTTAAATATTACTTAATTAATCTTATTATTTAACTCTCTAAAATTATAATATTAATGATTGTTAAATTAAAATATCGAAATAAATATTAAATTTTGAAATAGTTACTTTTCGTTAAAAAATAAGTTATCATTTTATTCATAAATTTTCTTACAAATAAATCACATGATTTAGGATATCCTTCTAAATAATTTATATACCCATTAAAAGTGTATCCTATTGATAAAAAATAAATAAAACAAATACAATGTTGTCCACAAGTATCTTCAAGTATCGATTGATAGGGTTTCTTATTTTTAATTGTCCTCGAGAATTTGTTTAAGAATTTTTCCTCTATTATTGAATTGACTGGTAGAGCCAGGCTATCAAAGTAAATTACTTCTCTTTCCTTACCATAGGCATATATTGCTATCCAATGTGACCCCTTTAATTGATGGCTATCCAAGTTTACTACAAGCGCTGCAGGGTAGGTCAAATGTGACGGATTAGGCATAAGATCACAAGGAAAACAACCTTTAAATACACCTGCCGTTTTTTTATTTGATCTTAAAATTTTTGAAATTTGTTCGCTATCCATATAACAACCTTTAATTATAGGTTGACTCTTTTTTTGTAGCCGACAAAGAAGATGAAATAAAACTTTAGTAATATTTTTACTTTTCAATGAAACATAAATGTTAATTATTCATTACACTACATTTTGTAATTGTTGTCTCGGTAGTTTGACCTTGAACCATATAATTGAGCGGATTTGGTAAATTACAAGGCTAGTAATCATTAATATGTAAATTACAAGCATGACCCAGCAATAAACATTTTCAAAATCGCTTTTTGGTTCTGTACAAAAACTAAGCGCCGTAAATTGAGGAAAAGAAATGGGGGACTGTCTTATATTAATTTTTGATTCTTTTAAATTTGATAGATTTTGACGCAAATATTCTGAATATTCAGGCAAATCCTGATGTTTAATATTATATGTTGAAACATGTGTTAAAATATTTATTAATAAAAATATTAATTTAATATACATATTAACTGTAATATAAAAAAATATTAATAAATATGAAATATAAAATGATAAATAAAATTTTATGAGTTTAAATATTAGATCGTGGTATCGCTAGAAATTGTTCTATTTTTATCTAACATAAGTAGGGAGTCTGCTTCACCCATCACTATTAACATCAATCCTCCGTCTGGTACTGGATTACTAAATTTAATATTTACAGATGTGGTTCCATTTTTAATAAGATCGAAGAGACCGCCATGATCATCTCCGCTGTTTGTCATGTTGAATATATACACACAATGTGTGTTTCCGAATTGAAGCAAACTAATTCCATTACTTTCCATTGAATTATTAAATCCAATTGCCTCGTTCATATCACTGAAGGCACGTGCAAACTTTCCACCAGGGTAGTCTAAATCATAAGGAGCCTGAGGATAGTTTCGACCATTGGCTACAATACATATTTCTCTAACATTAAATGGTTGAAAATTGAACGGGCTTCTTGTTATATTTCCAACATAGTCCGCGTTAGCTACTAACCCTAGAGTAATTCGACGAGGTATTTGATCCATAAATAGATTTGCGTTAAATTCATATCGCCCTGGACTAATAAATAGTGATTTCATCATTGTTTTTCTAATAGCATATCGAGCCGGATTTGTTTCAAGTTTTCGAGCTATATCCAGAGCCAATCCATCCATTAAGTCAACTTTCTTCACGTAAAGTTTACAATTGAGAATCTCAAAGTGATATCTTGTTCCTCGTTGACCAATTAAAACAAAATTTGTATCATTAGGTATTATTTCAATATCTACTTCACAATGATTAACTAGATAGAGAGGCTGATTAAATAGATCAGCGTCTATTTTTGATAGAAACTGTGCTGTCCTACTTGATGTAAACAATGCTCTTCTTGTAGCAAATCCTGATCCAGCCTCTAGAGTTAACTCATTATTACCGTAATATCCAGCTGAATTTAAATGTGAATTTTTAGATGTAGTTGGATATGAAAATTCATGTGAAAGATATGTTTTATAGGCATATAAGGAGTTTGAATTAAATATTTCTCTGCCATTAATAGTTATGCGCATATTATTTATGAAAGTCAAACCAATTAGCTGGATAGGTGCTACGTTTTCATTTGGAGCTAAATTTACTAATTGACCATTTTCTTCTTTTCGTATCCGAAATTCTGATAAAATATAACACTTGGAGAGATCGATGAAATTCTGACTTGAATGTATTTTAAAATGATAAGGAGTATCTGTTAAAGGATTACTAGTCAATATCTCATATACTTTAGATGATGAGATGCTCACATTCGTTGGTGGAATTTGAAAAAAATCTAAGGCATTTGTAATTGAATTAACACTATCGTTGTCTATCTTATGAAATGCCATTATAACTAATATAAACCAAATGCGTCTGACCTAATTCTTTTTTTATAAACTTGTGGTTTTTTAATAATTTTATTAATAATTGTTTTATGTTGATTAATTAAAGAGTTTCTTCCTCCTTTTATACTATTTCTTCCACGTCCTGTACCAAATTGTTTTGGTAGACCACCTTTATCAAGTATTGTATCAATTCCTTTTCTTCCCTCACTAGTAAATGCGCTTTTTATACTCTCCCCTTGATTGACTCTGTCTAACACTCTTTGACCAGTGTTTAATGCCTCTTGGGATACAGTAGTGCCAACACGCTTCATGATTGGAAGCAAGAATCGCCAAAGTCCTCTAAACACATCACCAATTCCCGCACCCCTTTGAATACCGTATCCTCTTTGGAAAGGAGGCGCACCTTTGAAGTATGTATAGGTGCTTTCGCTTAAATTTTCGAGACCCGCACCTTTTTGGATATTTTGGATAAAGTCGTCATATCCTACTTTTGACGTATCAAATATAATATGTACCATTTTTTAAAGTTTATTAATAATTTAATAAATAAATAAATAAATATAAATATGAATCAATCTATTTATATATTCTTAAAAATTTATTACTTTTTTAAAAATTAATACTATTAGTACTGTTCCATAAGAGAATGGTACTAAACGTCCATTGTCTAATGTTCTAAGTTCAACTTCTATATCATTAATTTCCTTGGGAAGAACTCTTGAGTAAATTGGTGTATCATAAATTTTTTCATTATACTCTCCAGGGGTAGCACCTGAAATTGACAGCACACGCAGCAACGAACTGAGGGAATCGCCAATAATCATCTTTTCAGTGAGCCCTTTTACATACACGCCGAAGCTAGAAAAACCTCCTCTTAGGTCACTTCCATACTTTGCAACGTCTTTATTTTTAATTATTTGTGGATTTTCAAATCCTAGAACATAACATAACTGTGTTGATAATGATATGTAATCGATATTTGAATGATTAATTTTTAAAAAGAATCTCCCAAAATCATTGTTGTAATCAAATGTAATAGAATTGATCATATTTTTCAAAAAAGTTAGGTTACCACTTAGACGAATACCTTCCCTCCACAAAGAAAATTTATTACTATCAACATTATCATTATTCTCTTCCTTATCTTCTTCGATAGTAATCTCATTGTCATTATCCTTTACTACTGTTGTATTACTCTTAATCCTATGGCTATTCTCTTCCTCATTTATTTCTTTCAGAGAGGCTGATGATTGGTTAATGTTATCCTGTGTCTGCCCTGAAACTCCTGATTTCTTTTGTCTATCATTCAATGGTTCATTCTCTTGTATCTTTTTCTCAGCTGTCTTTACTTTTTCTCTAACCTGCTCTTTTTCCTTTACATTTGTAACATTATTTTTCTCTATACTTGACGGTTTATTAGCTTTTGGTGGTGATATTTTTGGAGGCGTTTTCAGTACTGTATTTTGTTTTTGTTGTGACTCGGGTAAATCATCGATCCTTGGAGGAGTTTGGAGATCACGCTTCCTTTTTCTATCTATTCTTGGAGGTGATATTGGTGGTGATGCTTTAGGAGGTGATTGTAAATTATTTATACTAGGAGTCGATTCAAGATCTCGCTTCCTTCTATCCAGCCTTGGAGGTGAGACAACAGATTTGTTCTTTGAGCTATTAGGATCAAAGACCAAATCGATTGCCTTAGCCTGATGTTCAAGTGTTGCATTCAAGAAATCACGTAATTTTTCAACTTTAGTGTGTGAAGCTTTAGGTATGGGTATTCTTAAAACACTTCTGTCCAAGATCATCAGTGAAATGTATTTTTAGCCATTGTAACGGCAAACTTCTCAGGTCGGGAATCCACTGACGAGGGATCAGAGAAATTTAGCCGCTAAAATAAGAAGTTGGGGTAAAGGGTGTTGATGAGGTATGTCTTAATCCCAAAGATTAAGACAGGGCAAACCAAACGAGGAGGCAAAGGGTTTTAGACGGCCAAGTTTAGACGTAGACGAAAGTTAGGCGAATATTCTCAAAGAATACCAAACAAAAGAACAAGAATATTTTAATAATATTTATTTAATTAATATAAATTTACAATTATTTGTGTGTATGGAAAAGGTGGTTGGAATTGGTAACGATAAGGAATAGGATTGAAAAAAGCTATACTGAATGAACGAATGTTAGTGTAAGGGGAAAAAATTGGCTTAAATAGAACATTTTTTGTGTGTGGTAAAAAATGTGGGGCAATGGCAAAAATAGAAAACATAGAAAAAATTATATGTTTTTTAATAAAGTTGGGCGGAAATGCACTTTTTACCTTTTTTCCCTGTTGGATAAAATTATTAATAATTTTTTAGATTGGAATTTAAGATAAAATGGATAATTTTATCCATTTATGGAAAAAGGAGAGAAAGAGCGAAATAGGCAATAGCGATCACTAAAAAGTGATGTCATACAAAATAGGAAAGGAAAAATTAATAATTTAATTAAATTTCCTCCTTTGACGAAAATTCCAAGAAATTTTCGACATTGCCGCGGGCAGGCACATCAGTGGGTCCTTAGTTGTTAAAGTTTATGATGGAAAGTCGAAGTCGATATTCCATTTGTCGATTTTGCATTTATAACTTTTGTTGTTAAGATTTGGTTTGAAGAGTTGCTTATTTTTTAAAGATATTGATTTTTAACTTTATGATGTTTCACCACGTTCTTTTTATTTTAAATTGATTGGCTTCGCCAATAAAATTTAATTTGTGAAGATGCTTTTTGATGATTACTTTTTTAATATTTAACTTTGATGATTTCTTTTGTTGAGTTTTGACGTTAAAGTTTTAGACGTTAAGGTTTAGACGTTAGGTTTAGGCGTTTAGACGATGTGTTGACCATTTGATGAGGACCCAGTGTTGATGACATTTGCATTGATGTTCATCCATTCCAAACAATTAAAAATTTACCAAAAAATGAAAATAAGGTATTGAGGGGGAAAATTACAAACGCATGAATGAGGGAAAGGAGGGGAGAAAAGGAAAGATAGATTATAGAAAAATTTAAAAATTTTCTTTACTAGTGTCCACCATTCCAACTCCACGAGGTTGAAGGTTGTTCACACGTTGAAAGTTGCTGAACAAGTTCAATGGTCTCATTGATTTCATCTCTGGTCTTTGTAAGTTTGGCGATAATTTGTTGACGCGTTGCTTCAGTGATAACATAATTTTGAAGAGGTTGTTGTTCTTCTTGACGATCTTCGTTACGTTTTGCTAATGGTGTTGGAATAACAATCTCCAAATTTTGTAGAGGGAAATAACTGTTGTGGTCGTATCCCATTTTCCAAGGAATAAATCCTAGACGTTGACGTTGGCGAGATTGACGTGATGTTCCACGGATTCCACCCATTTGTCGTAGCACAGGGAGATGTGGTTCCCTGATTGGTCGTCCCTTCATTTGCCAGTGTTGTGCCACTGTTTCCCCTGGTTGAACAAGTAGCTTCTGTGCTGGCTTATATGTGATGCAGTCCCAATCTGTGATGTTGTTGCCGTTGGTGTGGTCACGTATCATTAATCCTCGGAGTTGACGATTGATTCGGTCAATTGTTGCGACGGTTTTCCACCAATTGTTTCCAAATCGGCTTGCTAAATATTCATCTAGACGTTCGGTTACCTCTTGACGTTGACGATTACCGGTTCGACGAGAATATAAAGGTGGTGGAGTTACTTGACGATTATACAGAGGTGGATTTGACGCATGGCGATTACGAGGAGGTGATGGTGTTCTGGGAAATTGCGGTTCCATTTGACGATTGCGGCGAGGTGTTCCAAAACCTCCATTGTCGAATGGTGATAATGTACGTGAAGACATTTCGACGTAGACGATTCGAGGGGTGTTGTTGAATGAATGAATTTGTGACGATTTCAAATTAATATTTATAGTTTTAAAAATAGGCGTGTTGGTAATAAGTGTAATTTGCCATTGGAATGTTGATTGAATATATTGATAGGCGATTGGAATTTTATTTCTCTTTGCTCTGATGAGTATGATATCATACTTATGTCGCTCACTTCTATGAAATGTGTGTGGTCCAGTTAGTCGTTGGGAGTTGTTTTCCTTTTTCTGAAGGGAACATCCGCCCGGCCACACAGAAAGTGCAATAATGACGATTGGAATGTAAAATGTTGAATTGACGGGTAATATCGGCGCAAATCTTTTTTGGCGTTTCTGTGGGTAAAATGGTCGAAAGGGTTTTGACGTATGTAGATAGGCGGTTCGAATCATCAGACACATTATACTAGTCGAAACGACGGCAATTCCAAAGAGATTCCATCCAAATGTGTTTTTTGACGATATAGGCGCAGACGAAATTCGTTCGGGTTTGTCGATTGTTGTTATATTGACTGCTTGAACTTGAATTAAAATTGCCACGATGGTAATTGTTCTAGCCATTTGTCGATAAATTCGAAATATAGGCGATAGCCGCATGAAGAGGTAGACGGCAAGTAAAGCAAGTCCAATTGACGTTATGATTCCAAGAAAAATTGGTCCTCCTTGTAGAAGTTTTCCGATCACCCATAAGTCGAATCCAAAATCAGGCCAAAAACTGAAGGTTTCGGGATCCAAAATAAGTTATTTTGATCGATGTTGGTGATGTCCCCATTGTCGTCGCAAAGGAATATAATAAAGGCTGCCATTCAGGATGAAGTTGGTTTCTCCAGCGGGGCAATCGACGGTACAAATAGTGTTGACATCTGCGTAGTCGATAGGGATTAATTCCTTTCCAAGGGTTCCATTTGTCGAACAATGGGCGACGAATAAAGTCCCATCTTCACATTTGACGGTGGCTAAGACGTTGGCGTTGTCTGATCGGCATTTGTACGTTATTTGCGCTCCAGCTCCACATCTGTAACATCCGTGTAGTCGAGCTTCATCCATAAAACATTTTGAATCACGAAGTTGAAGGTGTAGTGCTAGACTTTTCATTTGGAGATGTATCTGAATAGGCGCATAGACGTATGTTGCTGAAACTGATGGTCCATTGTTGTCCAACCATACTTTTGCTCTGGTGATTGGTAGTCGAGTTTCTGGGTTTTCCATCATTGCGTCGAGGTCCACATCTCGGCAACTGCACTCAACTGTTCCATCGTTGTGGTTCGGGAAGCATTCTTTGCAGGCTTCTTGGTCGAGTGAACAGTTCAAGGATCGAGCTGCTTCCTCTGTTGCACAGTGTAGATCAACAGGTAGTCGACTGACGATTGAGACAGTTTGTCCATTAGTGACGAATATTGAACCAAGTACTGGCATAGGCGGAAGAGAGATTGCCAGGGGTGTGATGGTGATGTTCCCCCATGAAGATGTGATGCCGGGATGCAAAATGATGGATTTTGTTCGTCGTTTGCCTCCATTGGTTTCTAACGTGAGTTCGACGTCCATTTCCGGGGTCCAACTTGGGCATGTGAAGACTTCAAAGACGTTTTGACTTGTTGGTCGAGCAAAATATCGGTAGTATAGGCAGGCTGATGAAGGTAGTCCACAATTGTTGCCCCAAAAACTTGTCGATGGGATACAGAAGGTGTTGCCAGGCAATTCACGTCCAAATTGTAGTTCTTTGACGTAACTGCTTGGTCGGACGTTTTCGCAATGGTCGTTAAAACATGAGCCAGCTCGAGGGCATCTTTTGACGGCTGTTGGTTCGACGCGGTAAGAACGTAACCAGGCGATTGATTGTTGATGGCAGGCCATTTTCAAAGATGTTAGACGCATTGACAATGTGCCAAGGGTTAAACCATGTTCGTCGCGAAGAAGCAATGTGTTGACTTGGCCAGCAGGTAATAGTGTAAGTGTGTTGGCACTATTGACGGTACAAGTCAATCCTGTCGTCCCTCTTAAACAGCTTTCAGTTTGAGTTGTAATTGAAATTACTGCCATAGCCGGAATTGTGATTG